GGTACCAATTAACCGACCCCGGAGGGATGGAAGGCTTGGTTGGCCCGGGCGACTCACGACCCAGGATTTGATCCCCGGACCGCTCGCGTGGTAAGCGCGCCACTTGCCACTACACCACTTCCGCCCTTCCAAAAGAAGGTACCCAAACTAAGAAGCACTGAATTACCGCCCTATCCAAAAAATAGCGCTTTTGGCATTTCTTTCTGGGAAACTCCCGTGTTCTGTTTTTGGCAATACATTTTTGTAGCCTCAAAGAGTACGAACATTCACACATTTCCTGTTTTCCGTTCTTCCTGAATGTCTTCTGATTATCATATTTGTCCATGGAATGCTATTTGCTGATAGTCCGCGTAGCAACCCGGGTCACGATTTGTGCGTGCCTGTGCCCTGCGCGCCCGTTCACCCTCATAGACGACCCAATCGGTCATGAATGAACCTTACGAACTTGCTCCTTACCTGATTGTCCGTACCAACATCGATAAGAACTGGAAGACACCACTCTGGATAAAGGCCGGCCAATGCAACATAAAGAGCCAGCTTTCCGACGGGTATACCAATACCGTACGCTCCAAGATCTCCCAGTCCCAGAATTCGCTCGCCGTCCGTCACCACAATTGCCTGAATTAAAATGTCTTCTTAGCTGGTCTTCAAGCGATCTTCATCCCTTGCAACTCACTTGAACATGTGTCAACGGCCAGTTGGAGAGGATTTGATAAATTTTACTAATCGAGTTGTCGTTAATAGTTATATACAGTCCCCTAAAAATAGCAAAATTTCAATTTTTTCTGAGAACTAAGGGGGATATGGGTCTCAAAACGAACTTGGGGTTACGATAGATGAAGCCGAATTTTTGACATGCCAATCCGACAGTAGGTGTGTAGACTATAGGCATTAATTCTTTGATATTATCACATAAAACTCGATAAAACAATTTCTCATTACGGTCTTGAAGACTATCCAATTGAATATATCTGAAAGAAAAGTTTAATAAAAGAGAAATGACAAAAAGAAAAAAGTGGATCAAAAACCCGACCTTGCGAGATCATTGGGCTGTTCTCGTAGTTTTGACATGGTGCGGTACGCCTGTTGTTCAGCAGTCATGAAGGCAGGAGGAAGAAGCCCATGTATACCGAGGTATTGCCGCTCATACAACGAAAATGCCATACCCTATAAAGCAATTCCATGATTAAAGCTGTATTCCACTGTAAGCCCAACTATGGATCAAGGCAGGGGATATCCAGGGGCCGTAAGGTGTGCTT